AGAAAGTCTCCAACCAAATAGAGCAGCCACTTCTGGTGGGGGATCTTTCTATGATAGAAATCTCAGTGTGAGAGAAGAGGGAAAAGTGTTTCCTCTGATACTCTTAGGCATCTCCCTAGTATCAGAAGAATATCTCCTAATACCCAAGCAGTATTTCTTGGTTGTATCGAATACTACTTGGGGTAGGCTATAATTAATTTATAGTGATATCAGGTGTGCCTGATAGAGAACTTTTCCCCAAAAAACATTCAGCTGTATGCTAGATTAATCCAGAGGTATGATTTTTCCAGATGAGTTTGGCGGAGGAAAGGGGGCTTGGGAATTGAAGATATTTCCAAGAGAGCAATTGTGTCTTTTAAAATCTAAAATATGGAAGTAAATGATTAAAAAAAAAAAAAGATGTTAATAAATAGAAAGTTATTGAGTTGGACAGTGGATTGCAACTCTTGATGAAAGAAAGAATTATCAGGATAAAAATATGCTGGAAGGCTGAGAAATTCCTATCAAAATGTAGAATATATAATTTGCAGTTTAGGATGTGGTGAAAATTTCTGGTGATGAAAAACAAGTGTATGAGACAGGCAGAATTGAGAAAGAAAAAAATCACTAGTGATGAGGAAATCAAGAAATTAAGAAGTGACATTAGATCATTCATCCCAATGAAGATCATTACACAGGATGACAAGTATTGAGAAAGAATAATTATCTGGGGAAGGAGAAGCCATCTCCTCCTGATCCTTTCTGAGCAACATGAGTTTGCTGCAGGGGAAGCAGTGTTCTCAAGAACCAGCAGGTTTCAGGTAAGGTAAAGAGGTAAAGAAAATATTCAGAGAGAACTATTCCTTTGGAACTCGGGTAGAATGGGATAGGAGAGTATAGCATCCAAGGTATAAACAACCCAGCAGGTGTCTTTTATAATCGAACCAGCTTTTCCACTTGAGAAGAACAAGGGGTAATGCTAAGCTTGTAACTAAGACTTCTGCTCTCCATAATTCACCTTTCCATCACACTACCATTACAATGGATATAGGGGTGATGCTTTCCCTTTACCATTCTTACCAGAGAGTAGTCTCACAATTCCCTTTTTCCCATAAGACACCTGATTCCACCAGATCAACATCTGTCATTCATTTTTCCTGTCCTTCCTTTCTTTTCTCTCCCCTCCATTTTCCTCCCTATCATTCATTGAGACTTTCAAAATCCCGAAGGAAATTATAAACTAATAAGATGTTTTCGAGTCCTGGTGTGGCACTGCAGGATAATGTGCTGGACTGCAGGGTCGGTTTGAACATAAAGGTTGGTGGTTCAAATTCACCAGACACTCCTTGGAAACCCTAAACAGAGTCGCTATGAGTCCGAACCGATTCAACAGCACTTCACAACAACAACAATAAAATGTTTTTGCCTATAAAGAATTGTTTCTCACCATCAAATCTGAGTTTTCTGTAGAGAAGCCTCCCATCTAGATGTTTTACAGTTTCTTCGTACTTCCTCGGTACCTTCATGAATTTCTAGAAACCTCAGTGTCCCAAATCATAAAAGAAAGATCTGCAGGAGATGGTTCCTTATCATGTCTATAAGACCTGTCTTTAATTGCCAACCTTGCGGTTCAAACCATCCTTGCAGTCCAGTGCATTACCCCACAGTACCCTACCAGTAATTAGAGATTATTATGTGGAAAAAGGCAGGTGTCATATTGAGACCATTTATTCCAATTATTAATAAGGGTTCTTTTATATAATATACTCCATATACTTTGCTATCAGTTTATTTTATATATTGATCCACCAACTGTACTACAAATATCTTTTCAAAATTACATATAAAATGTTAAAAAATGCAGTATTTGCTTTAGTATAAGACATGCCTCTGCCCAATACAGCAGCATTTCAACACTGGGTTTTCAATTTCAAAGAGAATATTTTTTAAAATCATGTTGTTTATTGTTAAGTTCTGTTAAGTTAGTTCCAACTCATAGCTACCCTGCATAGCGTTTCTGAGGAACAGCTGGTGGGTTTGAACTACCGACCTTGTGGCTCGCAGTCCAGTGCTGATCCTACAGCACTATACCAGGTGTCCAGTTTTAAATTATAGTAATGCCTAGTTAAATGCAGGAGTGGGAAAAGTACCGCAGTCTTAGTACTAATTTAACTACAGCTTTCATTCTAATAACATAGACATACATCAGGTTTCATTCAAGGCACTAAACATCTCAGTTCATATATGTAAAGACGAGTAGCAAAAATATAATAAATTAGATGGCCTTCGAAAAAAATTTTAAGTTAATTTCTTGCATTATTTATAGCCTGGCAAAGATGGTAGGACATTTTTCTTATTGTCACTGGCTATGTGGCACAGTTGTTGTTGTTAAGTGGATTCCAACTCATAGCGACCTTGTATAGGGTTTCCGAGGAGCCGCTAGTGAGTTTGAACCGCTGACCTTGTGGTTCAAACCCATCTTGAGGTCAAGTGCTTACACCACAGCAGGACTCCATATGGCACAGTAGTCCTCGAGAAAAGGTTTTATGGTTGTTGCTTTTTCAGTAGTCACTTGGGAATCTCTATTGGGAATTCTGAGGAGAATCAGTGAAGCAGGAGTAAAGGAAAGAAAGGGTGAGTAAAATACTTCCTTCTTCACACTCCCACAACAAAGGTATTTGTGGTATCAGATCATTGAACTGAGCTGTAATTTAGAATAATGAAGGCATGTGAAAGTTTGAGAATAACAGATAATCCACTGGCCTTCCACAAAGATCTTAAATGCCTTAACAAGCAGATGAGTTTGCTTACGGATAATCTCAATGCTCAGGATCCTGAGAATTTGGAATTGAGAAACATGGGATCTCTGGTTCATAAAACAGTTAGCACCTTCCATTTAACAACAACTCTCAAAGAAAGTTAGTTAATCCAACATAAAAGACATTTACGGACTTCTGTCATTTACTGGCCAATAGTTAGAAAGATACATAAATGAAAATAAATGGTTAACCTTCAAAGGGCTTTAAGCTGAGTGGGGAGACACACTAGCAAATCCATTCTTAATGGCAATATGCAAAAAGTTCCATGAGTCATAAGAGAAGGTGTGCCTAGAAGAGATGGAGGTAAAGAGGTGAGTGGAAGGGAAGGCTTCTCAGATGATGGGATTATTCAGCTGGCTCTTGAAAAGAAATGCTTTTGCCAGGCAGAAAAGCTGTTGAGAACACTCTTGGTAGATAGAACAACCTACGTAAAGGCAAGAAACAAAACCATATGGCCTTGCCACCTTGCCTCATGATTCAACCTGGAAACAAATGGCACACTTGAAGGGCTAACTGAAAAGACTTTAATGAAGTAACCATTTCCAGAAGTGTTGTTGTTGTTATGTGCCGTGGAGTCAGTTCCAACTCATAGTGACCCTGTACAGGGTTTCTGAGGCTGTAAATCTTTACAGGAACAGAAAGCCTCATCTTTCTCCCGTGGAACAGCTGGTAATTTCGAACTGCTAACCTTGAGGTTTGCAGCCCAATTCATAACCACTATGCTACCAGAGCTCCAGAAGTGTAGGCACGGTTAAAATCATCAACAAAGGTTGTTGAAGCAATCAAAGACAGCAATGGTGAGAAACATTATCCATTGGAATGGGCAAGGAATGAGATGGTATTACCAGAGCCTGGTGAAAACTGTAGCTATGGGAGAAGAAACTTGGCCAGAGACAGGAACACAGCCACTGTCAAGACATAGCCCAGCAGAAACAAACAAAAACACAAAAACCCACTGCCCTCTAGTTGATTCCAACTCATAGCAACCCTAATAGGTCCCAGTAGAATTGCCCCACAAGGTTTCCATCTTTTTTCTTTTCTTTTTTTATTTTTAAGCCTTTATTGTGAAATGAGTGAAGGTTTACATCATTAGTTTTACATTCAACAAATCATATACTTTGCTTCATTACAATGATTGCAATCCCCTCCATGTACCATCAGTTAAGAGTATTTACCTCTATTCACTTTAACTCTTGCATTCCTCCCTACCAAGGCTGTAATCTTTACAAAGCAAACTGCCATGTCTTTCTCCTGTGGAGTGGTTGGTGGGTTCAAACCACTGACATTTTGATTAGTAGCTGAGTGTTATAACCACTGTGTCACCAGAGCTCCTCTGGCAGAGATTAAAAACAACAACAAAAAGGATATATACCCTTACCTCTCCAATCTCCATATGTTGTTGCTGTTAAGTGCTGTTGTGTCAGTTCTGACTCATAGTGACCCTTGTATAGGGTTTCTGAGGAGCAGCTGGTGGGTTTGAACTGCAAACTTTGTGGTTTGAAGTCCAGTGTTTCTGTTATAGTGCCACACCAGGAGTCATACAGACTCTCTGTGCCACACTGGGAGTCACATAGACTCTCCATTCCTCCAGCAGTGTTTACATTGTGTGAATCCAACTGCAAGCCAGAGTACAAGAAGACCTGAAGAAAGCTGTGGGTAAAGATTCCTGAGGCCCAGAGAAGAGCAGAGATTAAATCTGGAGGGCAAACAGAAATCATTAGCACACCTCAGATTGAGATTTCACATCCATAGAACAGTTTCCGGTTTCTTGAATAAGTATAACACAAGACTAGCAGTCTCCCTTGCTGCTGCTTCCTAAACTGATACAGAGAGGGGTTCATTTAATTAAATGACAGGGGAGGATTCTTAAGGTCTGGTTTGCTATACAACCCATGTCAATCACCTAGTCTTTCTCTATGCATATTTTCAACCACAGTGATGTAATAATTATTATATCAGATATTTAAGAATAAGAAGAAATAATCATAAGACAGTTCGAGATGAAATACCAGTTAAGTGTTTATTTCTTTATCTAACTGGCTTTAATTTTCTATTAAGACACTTTATCCTTGATTTATACATTCCAATTAAATCACTTTAAGTATCTTCAAATTCTGTGATAGTGCTACATTGCTTGAGGGTGGGGATGTGGGGACGGAGGACCAAGTCAACCTTTTACAACTTTTTCTACTTCCTTTTCAGATCAATAACTCGAGCTTACTACCGCAACTCAGTTGGTGGATTTTTAGTATTTGACATTACTAACCGACGGTCCTTTGAACATGTGAGGGATTGGCTAGAAGAAGCAAAAATGCATGTCCAGCCATTTCGGATTGTATTTCTGCTAGTGGGACATAAATGTGATTTAGCTTCACAACGCCAAGTTACAAGGAAAGAAGCTGAAAGACTGTCAGCAGACTGTGGTATGAAGTATATCGAAACCTCAGCAAAAAATGCCACAAATGTTGAGGAATCCTTCACAATCTTGACAAGAGACATATATGAACTTATTAAGAAGGGAGAAATTTGTATTCAGGATGGTTGGGAAGGGGTTAAAAGTGGTTTTGTTCCAAATACTGTGCATTCTTCTGAAGAAGCAGTAAAACCCAGGAAAGAGTGCTTCTGCTGACTTCAAACAAGCCAAAGAAACGACAAGAGCAGGTTGGGTATCATTAAAGATAAAACACCAATAGTAAAAGCAGAATGATGCAGCTAAAGCATAAAAAATGTCATGCACCTGACTCACAAGCCCATATTAACACTATTTTGTAATGTATTCAATCAGAGCACTATGATGATTTGTTATGCTACAAGTTTGGATATTTTGCTAAATTACCAGGCAAAGCAGACAAACTTTTTCTTGTAACTGGAGTATCTGCATCATTACCTCTGTTTTCACCTTTTAATCATATACCTGATCTCAGTGTCCAAATATGTCAATATTACTCATTTTTCTAGAAGAGAGTCTGAAATAAGTTGGATTTGTGTGTGTGTGTGTGCGTGTGCATATATATACTATGATTTTAAAGCTCTTATCAGGAATTATTAAGTTAATTTTGAAAAGTAAAGTGGCGGTATCAAAATGCACGGTTCATTTACAAAGAAACAGTCTCAGTGGTATCAACTAGGACTAAAGTGGTGGTGGTGGCTATGTGTCGTGGAGTCGGTTCCAACTCCTAACGACCCTGTACAGGGTTTCCAAGGCTGTAAATCAGCAGTTTCTTACTTAAGGGACCAGCTTTTAAACCATTCTCTGAAATATTTATCCTTCCTTATGGGAGTAGATGGGAGCGCCGTGGCTCCATAGGATAAACACTGGACTGCGAAAGCTTTCTGCTCCCACAGATTTAAACCCTATAAGGAAGGGGTTACTGTGAGTCAGAACAGAAGACAGCACTTACCAACAACAACATTTTCCCTGAATATAAGAAAATAAGTTTTGTATTTACTTCTCTTCTCTGATTTATTGCTCCTGAACATTTTATGTTTCATAAGTGTGTGTAAGAATCCACTCAATATATTGTATTGCAAGTATTTGTAAAACTATAAAACTATCAGCAAACGTTTTCATACTTTAGTATGTGGTCCTTACTTAGGCAGAGAAAACAAATTTATGTACATGCTGGTATTTTCAAAGAAATTAAATGCAATTTACCTTAACTATTGTCAAAATTACCAATATTGATAGGAGTAAAATTCTCATTATCCCATTTCCAACACAAGAAAAGTATAGAAAACAGTTTTCTGGACAAGGAAAACTGGCTAAATCTTTGATTATATTTAGTACTCCAGTTGAATTTTACATTTGCATCTGTAAAAGTGAAGATGGAATAATGAATAAAGAGAGTACAATAACATTTTAGTTCCCTATAATGTTTAATTTTCTGATTTAAACTCTTTTCCTAGAAGGGAGATTTTGATCATGTCAAATGTTTATAACATACATTTCTAGTGTGTTCTGCCTACCATTTCTAATCACAAGAGGGAGAACATGTGAATCTGCTTTATTGGAAATACAGAGATTTACTGTTAAGCTGTGTTGTTTTAAGTGCTGTCCAGCTGGTTCGGACCCATAGTGACCCTGTACAGGGTTTCTGATCCTTTTTTTTTTTTTCAAATTTAATCTTTGCGGGAGCAGTAAGTCTCATCTTTCTCCAGCAGAGCAGCTGGCTGGCTCGAAAACCAAATTACACTTGTTCTTGTTAAGTACCATTTAGTTGGTTCCAACTCATGCCATCCTGTATAGGGTTTCCAAGGAGCAGCTAGTGGGTTTGAACCACCGACCTGTGGTTAACAATCAGGACTCCCAAATTAGACTAGTAGAAAGCTTGCCAGATGATGTACCAATATTTGACCCTGAGTAAGTCAATTTTCTCATCTATAACATGAGGCTAATACCCCATTTATTATGTTTTGTGGAATTATTTTAAGAATCTAGTGAATAATGTAAAAAAACCTGTAAATAGAGAAAAATTAGATGTGCAATTAGCAGCTTTTCATATTCATGAGCGTTTTGCTTTTTATACTCTTCCCTCAATGCTGGTGCAGAGTGAACAGGAAAAGGTACAGGTTCTTATGGACCTGGGGAAATTCTTGACTTAGATTCTTACCCTTGACTTAGATTCAGCCCTTTTATTCTGAAATACTGTTCTCCAAAGTAGAAATGATAGGGAGGAAATCACTGGAGGGTTAATTTAATCAATAGTCTTGTTTTTTAAAAAAGGAGGTTTCCCAAAATAAAAGCTAAAGAGGATAGAGAGAAACTCTGTTAACTGATGGTATGTGGAGGGGATTATAATCAATGTAATGAAACAAGGTATATGAATGTCTGAATGTGAAACCGATGATGTGCCCTGAAAACTTTCACTCAATCCACAATAAAAACCTTAAAAAAAAAAAGGATTAAAATCATAAAAGCACTGAGTTAATATAGTTTTATTTAAACATTTTTATAATAGCTTTTGGAGTCCTGATGTGGCACTGCAGAATAAGTATTTGACTGCTAACCACAATGTCGGCAGTTCAAATCCACTAGCCACTCCTCGGAAACCTTATGTAGGGGAGCCATAAGCTGGAACCAACTTGACAGACACAAAAACCAGCACACCTACAGGGGCATTTTGTCTTACAAATTGCCAACAAATTCCCATTCTTATAGCGTTACTTTTTAACTTGGCCTCACGTCTATTAGCAGATTGCGTATTTTAATAAATCATTATTTACTAACCATTTAATAAACTAACCCATTTGTTCCCTAGTAACTGCCTGGAGATACTTTGTTTGGAACAGCAAATTAAGCATGTAATTTTTAAGGGAAAAGCAGCCATTTTTTTCTTGGTACAGAAGTATTTGCATTATTATCTCCATTTTTACTTTGTTTACATATATCTGACAATAGGTGTCCAAATATGTCCATGTTACTAATTTTTTCTTGATAGTTTGAAATGTGCTTTTAATGCATCTTTAAGGTATATATTTAACTGCATTTTAAATTGTTGTATATTTTCTAGATTCATATAAGAATTTTTAATAGTGTTTATGGAGAGAAGAATATAAATTATAACAATTATACAACTTTTAAATATTTATATTGGCAACATTCTGTTGGTATATTTAGATTAATTTTACCTGAGTGGGCTCAAACTATAAATTGACTAGATAAGAAACAATCTGTCCCAAAAATGTAAAGTAATCTTATTTTATTGTTAACAAAATTAAATCTTCTTTCAAGCAATTTATCTTCTTTCACTCCAAATGGCATAAACTCAAATACTGGATATCTAACAAAACCCTATACAGAGTCGCTATGAGTTGGAACCAACTCGACGGCACTTAACAATAGTACTTTAAAGTGTAGTCACCTGTGCCTAGTTGTAAAGTTTAAATAGCTAAAATACAAACTGTAATTTAACTTTCAGTGGACACCCTTCATGATACTAATGTTGGGATAGGACTAGTATTCAGACTAAGAAATATGGTACGTTCTAAGATTAAAAATAGAAATAAGGAACTAGAAGAAACAAATGGGAAGACAGAGTCCCAAAAAGTTGACACTTACCAAGGTTACAGAGGAGCAGAAGCAAGCCTAGAACTCTGGTTCTCAGCACTTTGTTCTTTCCATCACAGTGCTGGGTGTGTGTGTGTGGGTGTGTGCGTGTGCGTGTGCATGTGCGTGCGTGCGTGTGTGAAAAAGGAGAAGGGAAATGTGATATAACTGGATCCACAAAATACTAAAATTAGGCTAAACCATTTTGATGTTATAGAGGAGCCATTTGTGGTAAAACAATAGTAACTTGAACAATGATTACAAAGACCTGAGTTCTTACACAAGATTGCCAACTATCTGTATAAACTTAGCCAGATATCTTTATTCACATATGTATACGATAGCTGATCTATTTTCTTACACATTGTTATAGAAAATATGGACAATAATAATGTCAAAGTAGTAAAAATATTTGCATTAGGCAAACCATTTTGAATCAGTGTCTTAGAAATTAGATGTACTTAATTTTATATTAAAATTATTTAATTTAAATGTACTTTCTTTAAATTTTTTTAAGTTTTAAACTAATGAATGGTGTGCCTAATTATTATTCTAATGAAGTATGGTAGAAAAGAAATGAAAAACTGTCCAACCATATAACAAGCTTATCCCTGACAGAATTCATTCATCTTGAGCTGATTTAACACTTTCAGTCCATGCGGTGATATGATAGTTCATTAAATGGTAAGCTCAAGCCAAAGTGACTCTGTAAATCAGAGTGCTTTTAAAAGTGGCCTTTAAATATGTATATATACATGATGATAACAAACACAATTTCTTGAACCTAGAAACTTGAGTGTTTCTAAAAGGTTTGTAGGTTTCTAAAAGCCTCAAGCAAACCATGATTTATTTATTTTTATTCATTTTGTGGCAACCAAAGCAATCTTTTCTATTAACTAAGAACACTTTACCAGAACAAAATCTTTAAAATTCAACTTTACATCATTAAAAAATGGAAATATATGAGTTAAAAAAATCATTTTGAGAGTACTTTTGTCAGATTTTATACTACCCTTGTTTCAATTAAAGTATGAGCTTCTACTGACTTCAAAGAATATACTCTGAGAGTAATATATGAATAATTTCTGTAGGTCTAATAAGCACTGAACTACAAACCACACTAACTGCATGGTAGGCAGTTTAAATCCAGCAGCCACTTTCTGAAACTCTGTACAGGGTCACTATGAGTCAGAACCAACTTACCAGTACACAATGACAGTAGACTCATAAGACTAAAGACCCATTTCATAAACTAAGTAATTTGTTCCCCAGTAAATGCTCTTAGAAATATTTAGTTTGGAACTGCAAGAAAATATGTACCTTTTTTTCCCTTTTTTAACTTTTTACTGTGAACGAAATATAGCCTTTCTTATTTTTTTCCTCTAAAGGCTTTAAAATTAAATGCTTTGTATTTTATAATAGTGTTATACATTCTCAATCAGGAGCTAACTTTGGAAGTTCCACAGTTCACAAATTAATACCTCTGCTTTAGCATTTTTGTAAATCTCAATGTTTTCACTAAAATTTTCTGAGCAACCAATCTTCTCCTGATCTTAAAATAACTAACAAACTTCTCCTGACTAGAACTAACAAGCAATCTAACCTGGTATTTCAATAATCTTAATAACTGATACAAGTAGACACATGAGTCTATGACAATCTTTATCAATCATTACATAATCCAGTTCAATTACTACACATAATCATGCTAGATAATAAATGAAAGGAAAAGAAAAATGTTTTTAAATTAGTGTTCCTTTTTGTTATCTCAGAAAAGGTTTTGTCATGTTTTAAAT